ATTAGGCCATAAATAACACCTTGTAAGTCATTATACATACATACATACATAGGTACTCAGAATTGGCGACCAGGTGGGCCATGAGAGGAGATTTGTTGTTAATGGCTAGCTTGCTACGGGTGGTGTGGAATTTCTTCGTGGAAGATGTTGATCTTTTCTTTACTGATACCCATAAATGTTTACGCTCTTGGCAGGCGTATACATAGTACATATATGTAAATGGTTACATGTTTTGCTCGCAACTGCTGCTGATTTTCGAAGGAAGAAACAACAGAAAAAATTTAAATATTTATGTAGTTGAAGCTTTATTTGTTGTGTTGCTCATGATGGGCAACAATTTCAACATAATGTTGCAATAGTTTTTATGGTTATACATAAAATCTTAACATTGAAAAGGGATTAAAGTAAGTTTTTTTCTAGTACGTACATTAGACCGTTCGTTAAAAATAAAATTTGGTTTGCCGGGCTCAAAAAGATGTCTTTTGGTCTAAAAATAAGCTGTGCAAAATTTCATTCGAATATGATAGCTCTAAGTACTTGCGCGTTGCATTTGAAAATTTAGAAAACCATATGCATTCTGGGAAAAATTTTTTTAACAAAATAGTTGAAAGTCGTGAATTTTATAGTCATTTGCCATGTAAAATAACCTACACAATCTGAATATGAGGTCAAAAATTAAAAAAGTAGAATAGGTTTTAAGAATTTGCGAAATTATCGTTTTTTTTTCAAATTGAGAAAACAGCATTTTCAATTTTTTCCAAAAATATCCGGTTGTGATTATCACACCACAAAAAGATCTCCACCGGATTAAAGGTCTTTGAAATCCCTACGAACCTGCTATACAATGTTTTGCAATCAAATTATCAGTTTAAGAGTTATCTGCCAATTTATTAGTGAAATCGGACTCAATTTTAAGTCGCATCGTTATTCTACTGTGAATTGCAACTAAAAGCTGCAAACTTTTTGTTCTTATTTTTATGCTATATTAAAGCTTATTTGATTTCAAAGTATATAGATCCAAATCTTTTGCAAATCGATTTGAAAATAGAAAAGTTATAGCAAATTTAGTAAATGACATTGGATTCAAGCAACGTATCGATACTGTACAGCACATTTGATTGTAAAATAAATTAAAATATCATTTCCAGTGGCATGTTATGCACATCGCAATTAGAAAAAACAGCTGACAATAGGTTTGTTTCATTAAGCAATAGTTTTAAATATTTTTTAACAATTGTTACAAATTATCATGCTTTGGCTAGCAAAAAAGTTGATCAAATAAGATAAATTGAGATAGCAAAATAACATTTGATTTTTAGATAAGGTTTGGAAGTTTCTGCGGGATACATTTATACTTGTAAAACTGAAACAATGGTACTTATTGAATGTATTATGTATTTATATTATGATCCTTATTTTCAAGTAATAGGACTGCTTGCAGTGCCTTCAACATTTCTCGTTTTTCCTCCACTGGCACATCATTATCAAAAAACGCTAAAGATGTTGTCTCCGGCATTAAGTACCATAAATGACTTGAACTTTTTCAAAACCGCATTGGATACCACTGCATCAGTTTGGGCGTACTCAATTGCATTTTTTAAAAATTTTAAATCTTGCATTGGAGCCCTAATGGGATTTGTGCACTGGTACCAAGCTTTCATATAAAGGCGAATGAGGAAAATGCAAATATCTCGTATCATATTCGAATGAAATTTTGCACAGCTTATTTTTAGACGAAAATACATCTTTTTGAGCCCGGCAAACTGTATATTTAAAAAAATAGTTAAAATAACGAACGGTCTAACGTACATATTATGTATTTGAACTGGCTTACGACCCTCACGGCATGTCAGTGCAAAAGACCCTAAATCAAAATTTTGAAACTTTACAGGAGAAGCCAAATACTTTCTTAAATTTAATGTGTGTGTATATCGACGGCTGAATGGAAGTTCGACTTACCTCGGCAACCGGTTTTAAAACGCCCTATGTCAGCAAATGGTTCAAGAACGCCCTGTCTCAATCTAAATTAAATACATGGGAAGCTGAGATAGGGCGTTCTTCAACCAAATTCTTAAGTGGAACATTTTTGAGCCATTTTCTAATTACGAAAATCCATCTGTGAATTGCCGAACCAAAATCAAACGACGAAGAAAATTGATTCAAGTAGAACATTTGAAGACACATTCATAAAGCAACTGTAGCTGAGTGTGCAGAGATGCTGCTGTTTTTGCTAACATTCAGAAGATGCTGGTTCTAATCCCGTCAGATGCAACGTGTTAAAATGATAATAAAAAATTTTGATTTGTATCTCCGAATTATGAAAAAGCATCTGCGAAGTGCAGAACATAAGCGTATTCAAATGAAAAAATCAGCAACCAGGAATTTGTTTTAATGTAAACAAAAGTGCGGTTAATATTACCAAATCATTGTTGAAAATATTAATCATGGCATTGTTAATATTAAACAAAAATCACTTTGATTCCTTTTCAAGTTTGATTTGGTAATATTAACCAAGGGTTAAAACTTATATCTGAGTGAAATAGTTTGTTGGGACGGGTATAGTAAAATTTTACGGGGAATATTTTGTATACATTTCTACGCAGTATTTCCTTCATTGAAGAACTAATAAAAAATAAATAAAAAAAATTGGCTAGCCTCTAGAGGGTCATTCCTAGTGAAATTTTATTAGGTGTCTTCTTAGTCAAAATTTTTTACGTTTAACATAAAAGTCTACCGGAAGCTAAATATCTAAGAATTATAAACATATTCGCTGGAAGTTGCAACATGATTTCTGCACGTTGGTAAAGGCGATCACTCCTATCCAATTTCAGGAATCCGATCTACAAATTTTATCGTCCATACAAAAAAATACGTGAAAATATAAAATGTTTTAGCGATTTGCTCTATGAAGGTTCTCGTAAAAATTGTTACATACATATGTGTGTTACGTTAAAAATTATTTTTTTCATTTTGTCGGGCCCATTACACGACTTTTTCA